AATGTGAGATAATCATATTCTAGGATACAACACTTCTAGCTACAAGCTTCTTACTTTAACAACGATCGCGGATTTCCAAACAGTATACTTCGTATACCAAACGGACCCTACCTCTGATATGATCCTAGCTGGTTGTTCCTTACTTGATAGATCATGAATGCAGACTTTGAATTAATGATGAATCTAGACTAATAATTAGTCACAATAAATAATAAACTAAAAATTTGTGATAATAATAATAGGTTTTATCAATGGAAAAGATAATTGATAGAAGCGAAGCGCTGCCCGAATTTCGAGTTATCACTGTAACAAGTGAGTATATAGTTACTTTCATCTTATACATAGATATGAAGTATTTAATATAAATTACTTGCTCTATGTGCCTATTGTCTGTGTTGTTGATATCTATGTTGGATAAACGATTTATACATGTTTTACTTGATTTGCATTGTATATGTATATTATACCTATAAATATGTTGGGTAAAGATGGGTAGATGATATAAATGATGAAAGATGAAATAAAATAACGAGAAGTCTTCATGTTTAAGCTGATTCATTCATCTAGCGAAGTATAGATGACGACCACAGACTATTCTAGACGGTCTAGGGGAATGTTGGCCGACTCGCAACCTGTAGGCGTTTGTGAACTACGTGTTCACTAGGTGTACTCCAACCCCTCATGTTTGCCTTACTAACATATATTGTTGAGGAATCCCTTAAGCAGTATTGTCTTCCTGATGATAATCCTTAGGCTAGGTCCCTTGAATTAGATGTTTTAAGGACAGAAAGTGAGGATAACGGAAACGAGTAATCGGGTTGAATGATTTGATGAAATTAAAGAACTTAATTATTGTGGGTTGAAAACCCTATGTGCTCACCAAACTCCCAAGCCTAACCCACTTAGTTTCTTGTATTACAAGTAGTTGCAAAAGAGCACAGGTGTGATGATCAGAAGAGAGATCTATGGATTATAGATCGTTTGAATAATAGATATGTGTATGGCATGTACTCTTTCTATTTATACTTATTCAATGTGTTGACGATGACATCCCAACATTTTTAATATAATGAAAATACATTTCTTCGAAAATGCTTTGATAATATACTTATCATATTTTTGGGAACAAATTCCGCAATATTATTCTTAAAAAGAATACTCTAATTTTAAATAAAGCATAAACAAATCGGTCTTTTTCTGGCGTGAAATTGGGGATGTCACACCAAAGCACAAGGCACACACCATTCATGCGCAAACCTCACACTACGTTGAGCGTACTACTATGTATGCCCAACGTACTCATTAGACAAAATCCCACAAAAGCTCTTAATGTTTAAGATAAGGCCATCTAAACTCAAATATCACCCTAAGTAGATGTCTTAACACATAAAGTTGGCAACTTTACTCTTCTGCATGACTTAATGGGACCAAATCCTTATGATCATCCATATAAGAACACTAAATCATGCATGCATCCATAAAAACCCTCAGGATGGTATTTTTATAAACAAGGGACCACACAAATGCCAAGATCCAACATTCTAAGCTCTTGGAGTAGCTCATACTCACAAGGATGACTCTAAGGACCAAAATGAACCCAAAACATTCCTTAGACTAGATCTAACACCTAGAGTCATCAAATTAGAAACTTCATACCTCTAGAAGATAGATCAACATACACAAAGCCTGGATCCAAAAGGTTCAAACAATCCTACACTTCTCCAAGAAGCTCATTATTCTTTAATGATCACCAAAATGCATGAAATACCACCAAAAGCTCAAGAACCACACCAATGGGGACTAGGGTTTCGTTTTTATGGTTTAATGAGATGGAGGTTGAAGATAATAGGGTTTGGTGTTGAGTTAAGGAAATGATTCGGAACAGGGTGTTACAGTTTGGTTTGTTAAAAAAAGTAAAGTCAAACAAAGACGATGCCAAATTTCGAACTTGCGGCCTTCTAGAAAAAAAATGTGACATGTTATACACCAAGTTGGCATTGTTTGATGTTCTTTTGGCTTATTTATTATACATAACATATTACTTCCACCACCACCAGCTCTCAACAATTCACGATCTCAACAATGGCGATGAGAAGAACACTTGGGTTTACGTCGCCAACCAATGGGAGAGGACTATCTTGAACTTCCGATTACCTACAACCTTTAGCGTCCTGCAACTTCTGCAAATCATCACATGGAGTTGTTGTTGTGGTTACAGATCGACACAGGCCTTCACAGCCTCCATTTCGTCATTTATTATCGTTCTCACCATTGTCGTCACCTTTACAGCTTCCACCTACATCAGAATGTCGATTTGGTTTCTCATGTATATGGTGGTAATGACGTCGGAATGGCATCGTTTTCTCTTGTAGATGGTGGTGGTGGTGGTGGCAGGATGTGCAGCCTCTGAAATCGCAAAGATGATAATGTTGGGGGCTAGGGTTTCTCCGATGGTGTACGGTGATGAAGACGATGGTGAAGGTCGTCGGTCCATGTTAGGTTATATATACACGTTTTCGACGATTTAAACATAATTAGTTCAACGGACAAGTTGGTTTAAGTGTTTGACTTGTATGGGTGAGACTCGGGTTCGACTAATAGCTTATCTTTTTCCATGTAATTAATTTTTTTAGCAAACCAAACACACTCTAATCCTAAAACTAAACATCCCCTAATGCCATAGAAATATAAAATCGAAAAAGATGGAAATTATGACAATTTTTGCCCAAATATGCGGCTTCTGTTGACACAAAAATGAACTTACACATAACCGAACATTTCTAGAAAATTTGGAAGCTTTTATGGCATTAGCCAAAGGGAATCTCTCTTATTTTGTCTTCCGGTAAGAAATTGAAAGCACTTGTTGATGTTGATAAGGAATTGAAACATGTTTGCACTAAGTCTACGATGGGTTATCATGTATTTATTTTTTGAGATTCTTTGGTTTCTTTGTAAAACAAAAACAAAAACAAAAACAAAAAAAAACAAAAAAAAAAAAATAATAATAATAATAATAATAATAATAATAATAATATTGTTTACATATATTCCACTAAACTAGTTGTGAAACCCGTATATTATACGGGTTAATTAAAACATAATGTTAAACATGAGCGATTAAATGAAAAGTTTATTTGAATTTGAAATATCAAATAAGTGAAAATTATAAAATAAAAAAAAACATGCAAAAAATTAATTAATTAAAGTTATGTGTTTAATTGTTAGACCCGTATACTAAACGATTTATTATAATAAAATGTTAAATACAAATGTTTAAAGTGTAAATTTATTTGAAATTGAAATTTGAAAATTTAAAATTTGAAATTAATAGTTATTATAGTAGATTTAATTTATGGAAACTAAATTAATGATATAGTGGAAATGAATAATGAAGTAATTGACAAATGGAAAATAAATATATTTTAAAATTATGATAAAATGACATGTGGCCAAATAAATGAGAGAATGACAAGTGGCAATAGCATTTTCATTTATTAGGGTAGATTTGAATACATTGTTGTTACTTGGGTGACGTGTGAGGTTTTGTGGATTGTGAACTTGTTAAAGGATTTGCATGTTAAATGTAACGTTACAATTTTTTTTATTTATTGGAAATGGAATTTCTCTAACAAGATTCTGGGTCATTTTTCGCGAAGCGACTAATCTTCCATTGCAATCCAATTGAGATTCTTTTTTACAACAATCAACTATTTAGTTATCTTTGAATCCTATGCAAAATTGATGTGCGTTTTGTTGGTGATAAAGGCATGGAAGGAATTGTAAGAGTTAACAAGACTCCTTCCTGATAACACAATTTTCAATGTTAGTATTTGTGTTCAAAATTAAAATTGTTTGATCCATTCAAAAATAAGATTGAGGGGGGGCGGGGGGGGGCGGGGGGGGGGGGGGGGTATTGAAACATATACATGCAGTACAATCTTATTTCTAATATATCAACATTTAATTTTTATGTTTTCATGCTTGGTTATTGTCTAAAAGTAGGTCAAGTAACTTTTTCATGTGTTACATTCGTGTTTGTGGGCTTAAAAAGGTTTTGGGCTGATGTTCGGCTAATTCTATTTTGTGGACCTATAAGAAAGTCGGGTTATGTTATTACTAAAGCTCAAAACAGAGGGATCAAAGGTGTAAGAAAGTGAAAGTTGTAGAGTGATCAAAGGTGTAAAAAGTGAAAGTTGAAGGGGTGCGGCTCGCTTTTAGAATACTTGAACAAACGAGTCTTTATTGATATTTACGCTTATCAAATTAATTCATCACATAAAATATATGTTTTATCCAAGCTGTACTTGTACAATATCTGTAAATATATTTTTAACGAAATGTGTTATACTTTATGGTTGGATCAATTTTATAAGTGAAAATATCACTTCCCTTGTTTATTAATTATCTACCATGGGTTGACCCACAACCCATAATCTGACGCGAATATATAAAAGGTTGAGTTGCAGACTTGCATTGTTGGAGCCAATAACATATAATACAGAGTACTGACAAAATTATTCACACCCCTCCGATTACTCTCTGTTTCTTTTTCATGAGAGATTAGGGTTTGACCTTCATAGGCTCTTTGATTAAAATAATTAAGTTATGACCTTATTGTGTAATCTTTTCTTATTAGAGGTTTGCTAGATTTAAACATTACCTTGCGTTTCTTGGTTCTAAATTATTTCAGATTCTTGTAATGGTTATGCGTATTTTTTTTTTTTAATAAAAGTGATATTATAAGTAATTAGGCTACCAAAATTTTCAACAATGAACGTATATTTAAAAACACAAAAGATCATATCTCCTTAGTCCTTACATATATATTATTCATATGGTGATCGGCATTTAGTAAGAGTATGCTAGTAACATACACATTGACATGTGGGAGCATTAGAAGTGATTCCAAGAGAAACAACATGGGATAAGTGAATCACTTGAACTTTTTATGAGATTTGAACGATTTCTTAAGTTTGTGAGCTTCACATGGGATGAGTGAATCACTTGAACTTGTTATGAGATTTGAACGATTTCTTTAGTTTGTGAGCTTCTGTTGGTAACTTAACATTGGTGGCTAATCCTAGTACTTCAAGAAACCTTATCATATACCAACAAAAATCAATTTGCCACCATTCTAAACCATGTCGAGCTGAGAATTCAAATGCATGATGATTGTTATGCCATCCTTCTCCGAAGGTAACCATCGCCACCCACCTATATATATATAATACATATTAAATATTTCCAAAACAAATAAAATTGTACACATTGATATTGTGAAGTTTAAGTGCATACCAATTATTCTTAGACAAATCACCGGTGTCCCAAGTTTGATTTCCCCATGTGTGACAAGCTGAGTTCACTAGAAATGTCGCATGGTAACCCCACGTCGCTGTAAAACCCTACATATATATGTTCACTTACGTCGACATTTTCTAAATGAATTTGAATAATATTTAAGCAACGTCTTACCAGACCCCAAACAAGGTAGCTAAATCCACCAAAAGCATAAATGAGGGCCCCATATATAGCTGTATGCAATACATAAGTTCTTCGCATGAACCTATAGAATACTTGACTCTTTAAATCCTCCACGTTATTACGTTCTTTATACTGCAAATTAAACGTGTGACGCAATGGATAATTAGCTAAAGAAGCTTTCTTTTCATAATATAAACATAGAAAGTATATATACCTTCTCAAAAATGTAGCCACTATCAAAGATCCATCCCATATGGCTAAACCAAAACCCAAACGTGGGAGAGTGTGGATCTTTCTCGGTTTCGACAAATTGATGGTGATATCTATGAATGCTGACCCAATATATTGGATCCCTCTATAAATACAAATAAACTTTATGATCTCCATTTGAATAATTAAAGAGTACATGTGTGAAAGATTATAAAAACGAACCTGGCAAGATAGGACTCCAAGATAAGCAAACGTGTACTCAAGCCACTTAGGTAGATTAAAACTACGGTGTGCAAGATGACGATGATAACAAAGGGTTACACCAAAAATCCCACACAACACCCAAATGGAAAATGCAAAACAGAAAGCACCCCAAGTAAACGTAAATGGTGCAAAAAGTGCAAGTAAGTGAAGGGATAAAATCCAAAGACCAACTTGAATGTCAACGGTCCTCCATTTACGTCCCCAGAAGAGGTTTCGCTTCCTTGTGACCTTCACATCGGAAAACGTTATCTTTCCATAATCCGACTCTGTTACAGTATTGGAAACTGTGACCAGATTTTTCATTCTTGAATGGTGAAATATAGAAATGGGTGTAGGATTTGTGGTCTGATAAAGGTAGGAAGCTAGCGCAAATATATATACAGGGAAACCTCGGTTCATGAGGTATGGATAGTGTTGTTGAATACTTGAATGCATCTAATGACGTACAGTTGAGTTGTAGTTCCCAACGTAGGCATATCAACTTCAAAAATATATAGTAAACAATAATACTTTAAAATATAAATACCAAAACAAGATCAATACAATTATGAATTTTCACACCGACTGAACCAATCCATTTTACTATTCGACACTGACTATTGATTCATAGATAGGATACAATATCTGTATTTCGCATAAAGTCCTACTATACCATGTAACCGATTATTTTAAAAGCCTTTTTGTTTGGAAATGGCAAGGATGCTCTTAAGCTCTACTAAAGACGAAGAGACGAATAGTGGGTTCCCTCGTTAATTATATATTTAGAAAGCATCTAGTTACTCATTTGTGTTTATATTCCTTGATTTTTGTTTCCTAATAAAAATAGATTGGTGAGATATCATAGAAGTTTGCCTATGGGAAATAATATTAGATATATCATTGATTATATTTAATATTTTTATTTATGTATTTCACAAAATTTTAAATTTGATCAAATTGTAAGACACGGGTTCTTTATGTATTACATTACTAATTCAAGTAGAACATCGACAAAAAGTCATATATATATATATATATATATATATATATATATATATATATATATATATATATATATATATATATATATATATATATATATATATATATATATATATATATATGTTTAGGTTCATTTGAGACCATTCTAATTTTGTGAGACCGTGAGACCAAATCTAAAAATAATTTTAAAATGCAAAATAAATGAAAAAACCCAAAAATTCTTTTTTTAAATATTATTTTCGGAACTTGAATTAACTAAAAAAAATATTAAAAAAATAAAAAATAAAATAAAAAAAATTCCGTTTTTTTTTTGAAAAATACGTGAAATATTCTAAATAGAATATTACACTGACATATTCTAAAAAATAATTTTAAAATGCAAAATAAATGGAAAAATCTAAAAATTCTTTTTTTACATATTATTTTCGGAACTTGAATTAACTAAAAAAAATAAAAAAAAAATTCTATTTTTTTTGAAAAATACGTGAAATATTCTAAATAGAATATTACATTGTATATATTCTAAAAATAATTTTAAAATGCAAAATAAATGGAAAAATCAAAAAATTCTTTTTTTAAATATTATTTTCAGAACATGAATTAACTAAAAAAAATATAAAAAAATGCATCTCACGGTCTCACAAAATATAGGTGGTCTCAAATGAACCTAACCCTATATATATATATATATATATATATATATATATATATATATATATATATATATATATATATATATATATATATATATATATATATATATATATATATATATATATATATATATATATGCAAATGCCCGCGCGTTACGCAGAAACACCTATATAGTTAAAGAGCTTACAAATATATGATTTTTTTAATATAACAATAACGTTATTGTTAAATTTGATATAATAATTTATATATACTAAATTGATATAATATATTGATTATTTTGAATTATATGATAATATATACATTTATTATAACTTCATAATCTCAATCGTGTTAATGATTTCTACCCGCGAGTGACACATGAATAAAATTAAATATAATATATGATTTGATATTATATATAGTTGTTTTTATTGTTAATTAATTTTTTAAAATTTATTTGTTTAATGTTTTAATTTCTATCATTATAATTATTTAAAACATCAAACATTGTTTTTTTTATTTTAAAGCTAAAAATATAATCATTTATATATAATTGTTTTTAACTATTGTTATTGTACTTATTTGAAAACTATTAACTATTATAAAAAAATATTTAAGAAATATTTTAATTAAATTGAAATTACAATTTAGTTTTTGCTTTTATCACTACAATTTATCACTTTTAACTATTTACAAAATATTCTTTAGTTTTTTTAAATGGAACTGAAATTTATATTTTAGTTTATATTGTAATGCACAGAAACACCTATATAGTTGAAGTCTTTACAAATATATATATATATATATATATATATATATATATATATATATATATATATATATATATATTTTAAAATAGAACACTAACATTGTTGTTAAATTTGATATAAATAATTTGTATATTAATTTGATATAATATATTGATTATTTTGAATTATATGATAATATATAAATCTATTATAACGTCATAATCCCAATCATTTGAATGATTTCTACTCGCGAGTTACACATCAATAAAATTAAATATTATATATGGGTTAATATTATTTATAGTTATTATTTTTAACTAATTTTTTAAATTTTATTTGCTTATTGTTTTGATTTCTATCATTATAATTATTTAAAACATCAAACACTATTTTTTAATTTTAAAGGTAACAACATAATCATTTATACAGACTTATTTTTAACTATTATTATTATAAGTTATTTTAAACTACTTATTTGAAAATTTTTAACGATTATATAAATATATTTAGGAAATATTTTAGTTAAACTGATATTAGAATTTAGTTTTTGCATTTATCACTATAATTTATCACTTTTAACTATTTACAAAATATTATTTGGTTTTTTTAGTGGAACTGAAATTTATATTTAAGTTGATATTGTAATGTTATATTTAAATTAACAATTTAAGGATTTTGTCAAAACTATTCAAAAACTGTAGCTTTAAACTGATAATGATTTACATTCAACAACATTTTAAATATAATAAATTAAGTATAATATGTTAAAATTTAAAAAATATAAATTTATAAATAGAAGTAAATATATTATTTTAATATTGAAAATTATTCTATTTATGATTACACTTTAGGTTTGATGTTTATTTAACCTTATTAACCAACTTACAATCATTCTTAGAAAGACGCTACAACTTATCATCTTTAACTATTATAAAATGATCTTTGGGTTTTTTAAGTTAAATAAAATTTATATTTAAGATGAGCTTATAATGTTATATTTTAATTAATAATTTAAATATTTTATACAAATTATTCAAAAATTATACCTTTAAAATGATAATGGTTTTCATCCAACAATATATTAAAACTAATAAATTAAGTATAATATGTTAAAAGTTAAAAAACATAATTTTATAAGTAGAATTAAGGATATTATTTTAATATTGAAATTTAGTTTATATATGAATACACTTTAGATTTGATATTTATTTAACCTAATTACCAAATTATAATTATTATTATAAGGAAATTGAAAAGTCATGGGAGTTTCAAATGAATATGGTGAAAGGAAAAAAGAATAGAGGTTTCAAATTCATGAGATTCAAGAAAAAATGCTAGCTTTATAAGTATATATATATATATATATATATATATATATATATATATATATATATATTATGCAACTTATTTTGAATCTGCCGCTTAAGCCTTCCAGCATACCGGGCCGACTGAATAGATCATGTTTATATATGAATACTTGTATTCATATATGAATAAGTATAACGGAAGAGCTTATTCATATACGAATATAGCGACGATGGGTAGTGGTGGAGGTGACGGTTGTTAAGGTGATGGTTGGTTATGGAGGTGGTGGTGGTTGGTGGCGGTGGTGATGATGGTTGGAGGCGGAGGGAGGTGATTTATTCATATATGAATACACTTATTTATATTCATATATGAATATTACTCAACCTCCGTCGACCCGGTATGCCGATATTTTGCGGCAAAAATAAATGATTTGCTGAAAATAATTATTCAATTCTCAATAATTTTTTATTTTCTCAATTGAACATATATATATATATATATATATATATATATATATATATATATATATATGTTCAAATGTGGATTGACATCTAATTACGCGGACGTATGGACAATACTATTCTGTGAGAATGATAAAGAAAATATGTTGTTTGATAATGTGAATACGTTCAATCTTACATAACTATTGTCATTACCACACATTCCTACTAATTAAATCGTCTATAATGTTATTATAGAGTTTTTTTATTATTATTCTCATTCTATTAGAATATTATCAGAATGTTTATTGAGTCGTATTCTGTAAAAATAAAAATTAGTAAAAAAAAAAAAAAAAAACCCGATGTATAAGAACAAATCTGAATAATAATTAGTGAGAATGCATGAAAATAATGATAGTTGTGTAAAGTTGAACGTACTGACATTAGCAAACAACTTATTCTCTTAGTAATTCTCATAAAATAGCATTGTTCATACGTCCACACAATAATTGTTCACCACACTATAACCTAGCTATATATAATCCGTGCCATTAGTTATATAAAATATACTTTTTGAAGTAGTTCGTAATTTATAATTTATTATATCAAATATTTGTACGATATTTTCTAGTTTTACAAAGTAAAGTTCTATCTGAGTGGTTTCGAAATTTCACATTTTTAATAAACATTTTGTTTTAATAAAATCATTAGCGTGTTCTGGAAAGGATAAAGTAAGTAGATTGTAGATGGTTAATGAAGCCAACGGGAAATCTGCAGAAAAGTCCTAAAATTTTATGTCAATTTATGAAGAAATCCCAAACTAAATTCTGTTTACAGAAAAGCACAGAATACCGGTTAAAACTTTGAAAAACCCATTGTCGGCTGGTTTCGCAGATTTGGCCGGTATTCTGTCATTTTTCATTAGTTTGCTCAAAATTTTGGGACTTTTTCAAAAATTACTTGTTAACCAAAATATTGGGACTTTTCTGAAAATTATTATGGAATTAATGAATATTATTATTAACAAATCATTTATAAACATAAAAAAATATTTTTATTATAAAAAAAGGAAATATATTTGTTGCTAATTTTAGGAATAAATTTATAGTCTAAGTACTCATCTATTGCTTGTTGGCCACTCAAAATCTTTACGTTCCTCCTATGCATTATTGTGGATATGATGGTGATG